ACAAAGGCACGGAAACAGCGTTCGCTGGACACTGTGTGGAAGGTGTGGAGCTACTTCCTGGTGGGCGACTTCTTGACTTGGAGTTTGCCGACGATATTGCTCTAATCTGTGACGGCTCCTAAACATACCAAACCGCACTTGACCGATTAGCACTGGCTGTCAATCGTTTTGGGCTATGCTTGCTTGTAATGTAATGTAATGCGGAGCAGATAGTGGCTACATCACCAGTTGGGGCATTCGGAGGGTTTTAGATGCATCCGGGAAGTATGTGATGGGAAATGCTAGTGGCAAGTAAACAGAGATTCCGAGACGATTTGTAGCTCATGATGGCCAAGAGGTATAGCTGTGAATGTTCGATGCATATATATATATATATATATATATCATTCTATGTATTGCACTCCCGCCGTGGATCGGCGTACATTTAACATTATCTCCCTCGGTACTGTGCAGAAACCTATTGAGCTTGAGAGGGCGATGGCTGCACATCTGTTTGATGTAAAATGGATAGACACAGTGCGCGACCTGTGGCAGCACATTCGCTGCCAGATGATAGCTGCTGTCGAGGAAACCATCGGGCGCGCAAACTTTAAGCATGCTGATTGGTTTGATGAGAACAATGCGACGATTGGCGCATTGTTGTCGGAGAAGAATGCAGCATTTGCTGCACATGTGGCAGACCTTGGTGACGGGGGGAAAAGAGTCAATTTCGCGGACTTCCACCGCAACTGACCCGAGAGCTCCGTTGCAAAAAATCTGCGTGATGGACGAAGAAGACGAAACGGATGAAATGTTACGCCAAACGCCACCAACACAAGTAATTCTGGCTCCTTGAAGACGGTGTATGAACCGAAGTTGCAGCCATTAAGAACGCCAGTTGATGGTAATTCAGGCGCTACCTGTACACCGACTGCAGATATAATGCAGATTTGGCGAAATCACTTTGACTGGCCTACGTTAATCGGCCTCAAACAGCACGAAATGAAGATGAGTTTGGAGAACACGCCGACACTGCATGGGACGCAGAGAGCACTTGCTCAGCTGCGAAACGGCAAGTGTGCCGGTGCCGACGAGATTTCGCGCGAAGTATTGAAACACAACGAACCCGTGTTGGTGACTGCGCTGCAACACTTGATGCAGCGCGTGTGGATTGAGGAGGAGGTGCTTCCTGTGCTGTAGGATGCCCTTGTCCTACTACTGTACAAGGGCAAAGGAAACAAGCAATGTTGCACGACTTAACGTGGCATCAACTTGCTGAGTTGTGTGGGCAAGGTGATTGCCCGAATCCTGCACAATCGCCTCGTCAGTCAGGTTGTGGAACCTAACGTGGCGGAGGAGCAGTGTAGATTCCGTTTGGGTCGCAGTACTATAGATATGGTGTTTACGGCTCGTCAGTTGCAGGAGAAGTGTAGAAAACGACACCAATCGTTGTAATCGCTGTTTTTTGATTTCACCAAACCATTTGATACGGTGAACCGCGGGGTATTGTGGCTGGTGTTGGGTAAGTTTGGTTGTTCGAGTAAGTTTGTAAGTTTTATTGAATGTCTACACAGTGGTATGCTGACGAAGGTGTAGCTGAGTGGATGGACGTCGGATGACTTTGCAGTTGTGCTTGGTGTGAAGCAAAGGTATGTCATAGCTTCTGCCCTGTTTAATATCTATCTTCATGCAATGTTGTCTCGTGCTTTTGCTGCTGCTTGTGCTTACGGTGTTCGTGTGGAGCACCATATTGATGGTGGGTTTCTGAGAACCCTAGTCTGTGAGACAACTATCCGTATGTTGCTGTTTGCTGACGACTGTGCGTTGTTTTCACACAGCGCGGATGAGTTGCATCACATGACTAGTTCTCTGGCTTCGACAGCAGCCAAATTCGGACTCACCATCAACACAAGCAAGACTGTCTTTTCCAGTTTTCACCCGGAATGGAGTCTGTGGGCCTGTCCGCAATCCAGATTACCGAGGCAGTTTTAGAAACCACCTCGAGATTTTTTTTAACCTTAGTAGCGCAATAATAACCTACCAGCAGATGGCGTGCGCTGCGCGGCCGCGTATCAAAGGCGGATGCTGCATTTGGCAAGCTGGAATGTCGTGTGTTGAGCAATCACCAGCTCACTGTCGAGACGAAGCTCTTGGTCTATAAGTCTGTCGCGCTGTCCGTTCTTCTATACGGCAGCGAAACCTGGACGTTTTTTCTGAAGGATGTCAGATATCTGGAGCGCTTCCATCAGCAGTGTCTGTGCCATATTATGCGTATTGGCTGGAGTGACCGAGTTGCAGACACGGAGGTGCTCCGACGCAGTGGCATGTATGCAGTCAACTGCATAATTCTGCTGTGGCATCTGTGCTGGCTCTGCCATAATCGCCGTATGGATTCGACGCGGATACCGAAACAGGTGCTGTATGACCAACTGAGTGCAGGGAAGCGGCACATGTGAAAGCCGAAGTTACGATACCAGGACATGATCAAAGTGAGTCTTTCACCTTCTAATCTTGATTGCAGGTCATGGGAATCAACGGCGGTTGATCGAGGTGCGTGACGCGATCTAATCACAAAGTCAGTTGCCGAGGTGCAAGAAAAAGCTTTCATGCATGCAGTGAAGAAGCGGCAAGTGCGAAAGCGACAGGCGCCGATGGTATGTGCTTCATCGACGTCGAGCGGATTGTGCTGTTGCATCTGCGGTCGCGAATGCTTGAGTCAAGCAGGTTTAGGTAGCCAGGAGCTAGGCCACTCGGGTCCAGCATCGAAACGACGACGAGTCCTGCTGAGAACGTAGGCAGAACAGGCGCATCGTTTTTTGGTACACTGCATTCAATTTACTAACCGCGTGCTTGTGTGCTGAGTTTCTTTATTTTAACTAGTTGGTTTGTTACCTTGTCTTAGTGTTATTTCCTTACCTCATTTTAATGTGTACCTGAATAATCTATTAAATTGTACATTTCGCTTAAGCTAAAGGTGGTTAACTTCGCTTATTTTTTTATCTCCTTACATATATGTCTTGAGCCCTTATCTGCCATCCTGAATCTATCACTGCTATTTTGCTAATCTAATTTCATATGCTAATTTAATGGCATATCCCCACGGTGTATTCGATCTATTTTATTCGACATTTCGTTTCATGTGATTGGCTGTTGCTTGACCTCCCCGGTGTGGCTGCGCTTGATGTGCATATTGACGAGGTTCCTACTTCTCTATTACCCACTACCTCGTCAATGCTGGCTCTAAGAGACAGACTTTGCTGGATGGGACGGGGTGCCTGGTCCTTGTGGCCGTGCTAGGCTCGAAGAGTGGTTCCTTTCACTCAGAGTGGAGCGGATTACAGTCCAGCCACCGTCTTGTTTGCGATTGATTCTCAAATGCAGCGTGCCTGTGTTTGCATGTGAAGGAGTGTGGGCCGGCTCCGTTGATGAAACGTGGCTGCCATCCGCATGCCTCCCGGTCTTATTCCTTCGGGTTTACACTGTATATGGGTGTGTGGATGGAGCTGTGGGTGGTGCATCGCAAGCTATCCGTGGTCCCTCTGTAGGCGCAGGTGTTCTGTGGCTGTCGTATAGAGGCCGCAATGGCGAGCAAATCCGGAACCGGATGCCGGCAACCATATACGGTGACCAAATAACTTGTCGGGGTCGATTCGCACCCTACTTCTTAGCTTGGTCTAATTGTCGGCAACACTAGTTACGGACATTGCTTTTACACATTGGCTATCTCCTTGATTAACATGCCATGGCTATTTGTTCTTTTTCTGAGCCTCCTTTTGATTTGACCCTCAGGTGATTTTGTTCACTTTTGCTTGCCTATAACTCATGAGTATCGGATACTGGATCCACCGTACTGTAGTACTCTTTCCAGTATTGACCTGGTGAATACAGCTTCGCTTTCACCATCCTGTTCAGTGCACACAGACATGTCTACACTTTGTTATCTCCTATTTTTCAGTTTCATGTCTTATTTATGATGCGAGCATCTAACCACTGTGACTCCGGTTACGCTACTCTTTTCTCACGACCGTGAACACAATAAGACAGTCGGGAGAAAATCATATTTGGTGGACTGGAAGAAAAGTTGGATAAGTCTGCTGCCTACAGATGGGTCCAGTTGAATCGTCAATCGTTATGTATGAGGAGCTGAACACTCAAACTCCGTAGCTCACCACTTGCGTCACGTCAGTTTTTGTTTCTGGCTTTTAGTTTGCTCGAACACCTAATTAGGTTACTCACACTTTAGCGAATCGCTTGCGTCTGGTTGTTTCTTATTTTAGCATAAGCTAACCGATCGCATTATCAACAATCAGGCTAGGCCGGCGCTGGTGGTTAGTCTGGGAAAGTTGGTTAAATCATTCTGACGTCAGTCAGTCTTTTTCCGGGTAGCGATTGCCTGAATTTGTCATCACTCACACGATGGCTCCTCAGATATGAAGGGTAATAACTTACCGCTACCAATAAAAAACGAACGCTACTTTAATGCCCTCGACGCTCTTGGGGCGTCATCCATTCACATAGAAACACCGATCGCACTTCTGCACCTTAGCTTTAAATCAAATACTACACCAACTTTGGTGTGCCTCTCTCGGTGGCTTAGCTGCCAGTCGCCAGAACTCTCCAGCTCCTGAAACCGGTGAAGCACTTGGCTATTATTCTTCCATAACGGCAGATCTAACATGGATTCGTCGTGCTATGGTTTATGCTTCTGGCTTACAACCTTTTTGCTGGGCTTAAGTCCCTGCTCCAGCATTTATTTGGGCGCCTCATCACTATCGCGACCCGCGTGCGTCTGCCTATGGTCGCACAGCAGCGATGTGTCGGTACAAGATACTACTGATGGAACAAAAATATCCTCTCGATTTCTGTTTGGGTGCTTGCCCTTAGTTTGAGATGGCACCGCTATACCACAGCATCAGCTTTTTGTTAGTGTTATTTCGCACCTCTTACTTGTACTCATTGCTCGTTATTTCCCCCACAAATTTGCCGTCTTCCTTTTTCCGCTTTTTCTCCCTTTGTTGTTTAGTATGTTTGATAGCTTCGCTAACCAGACTTCGCCGGATCAGTATGTCTGCCGCAACGGACCCTTTGGCCATGGACCATTTTGCTTCGGTCGTCAATGATATCTCTGACGATGTTGTCACTCCTTGGGAGGTTACTACCACTTCCAACCGTGGAGTCGACTACGATAAATTAATTGTTCGATTTGGATGCTCAAGATTATCGCCTGAATTATTGACCCGTTTTGAACTGGCCTGTAAACAGCCACTCCACCATTTTCTCCGCAGAGGGATATTTTTCTCCCACAGGTATATAGCTTTATTACTTCTTGGAAGTTTTCAGAGATTTGGAATTTATCGTCTCATTGGTCGAGCAGCGAAAGCCCTTCTTCATGTATACAGGACGTGGTCCATCCTCTGATTCCCTACATCTTGGTCACGTGGTACCGTTTGTCCTCACAAAGTAGGATGAACTTTTGTTGGTTTACTCTCAGATGGCTGCAGGATATCCTGAACATACCTCTCATCATACAACTCACAGACGATGAAAAGTTTCTGTGGAAAGACCTCACTGTAGAAAACGCATTGCATTTAGCTCGAGAGAATGCAAAGGATATTATTGCTATTGGATTTGATCCCAAAAATACGTTCATCTTTAGTGACTTTCAGTATATGGGGTAAGTACATATGTTAGAGGCATATGCTATCCTGATTACGCAAGTTGAACGTGTATGTTACAACTTTTTTTAGCCACCATAAATGCATTTTGTGGCGCTACTTACGGCCATTGCCTGGTGCATATGGTGTGCGGCTTACAATCCACAGATCGCCTGTTAGAGCATGCATAGACGTGAGTGACCCACACTATCCATAGCCCATAGTGAAGGCCGTCCTGCTCTATGGTTGTGAGACTTGGCCCCTTCGGTCTGAAGATCTGAGACGCTTTCAAGTCTTCGATCATCGTTGTCTACGAAGCATTGCTAGTGTCAGATGGCACAAGCGTGTCCGCAACAATGATGTGCGTAGGCGAGTACTAGGTAGTGATAATCATGCTAGCTCTCTGGAACAACAGATGACACTTAATAAATTGTGTTGGCTTGGTTACATGCTACAAATACCTGGTCACCGCTTACCTAGAAGGATCTTGTTTACTCTGCCAGGTGTAGGGTGGCGCTTGACTCGAGGTGGGCAGAACTTAACTTGGCAGCGTGAAATGAAGTCACTGACGAGCAAACTGGGTGCCGTTGGTCCTTCTTGACTTCTGCGCTGGGGTCCACGAGACTCGCCTTGTGATTGGCTTGAGACTACAGGGCATGACTCGCAACCGACACCAATGACGCGTCTGCTGCCGTCTCCTAGTCGGACTGACCGTTTCGAGGGTGTTTGGTGCTGTATTACCTGCGGGGTAATAGTTGATTATGACGCGGGGCAGGGAAATCCGCGAGGAAGCTGTCTCGCCGATGCTGCCTTATCTTTGCACGATAGCCAGCTGTTAGTGACGGTATGTTGTTAACACAAGGTGTAGGCGCCTTGACCCTGAATGTATGCTTATGGCATTAAGATTTTCAGGTAAGTCCTCCTTCTCTCCCTCCTATTATTTTTTATTCCGTAGGTCATGGTTGTATGGCAGCGAAGTATCAGTTCAAATGACTGATGTGCTGCTGTTGTTGATGATGATAATGATGAGTTTTCGACAAGATGTGCAAGCGCACTGCGGATGCCACTCCCAAGGCTTTCCGCGGTGCTTTTATTGTTGTGTCACATTATGGTATTTCGTAGACGCTATTACTTCGTCGATAATCAACTTCATTGCAGTCGCATTGCTGATATCGCCTAGTTTTATGTCCTATGGATTGCAAACCAACCACCCGATTCGGAAAACATTCCACACCCGAGCTACATATGCTCACAATAATTTTAACGAGATTGCCTTGTTTTCCGAAGAGACTTTCTGTCGTAGACGTTACCTCATCTTAGTTGCATTACGCGATCTACAGAACCGTTTGAACTTTACCCTACTTTTTGTTGCCTTGTCTTTATGAAAGACTGCAGCTACATTTTCTGTCCCTAATCTCAGTTCCCAGCGTGGGAAAAGTTGGGCCAGTTAATGGCTTTCTTCTGATGTTCATTTGTCCCGAACCTCTAAATATCTTTTTCTCTATCAACACACTACTTCTACCTCGCTGCTCACGAGTTTATGCTGTCGCCATTGCTAGCGTTTGACTTCTTCCTTCCTAAATTCGAGCACAAGTTTTCGGTTTGTTTTATTATCGTGTCGGCATCTTCATTCTTACGTGATTATCTGCATCGCCACCTGCATATGCTATGCCATTGCTGTTATCCGCCATACTGAATGGACGTCCTTGTGCTAATGCACGTAGCGTTGATTTTTCTGATTACCGTGTATCACCCACACTCATTATCTTTATTGTCACTCAAAGGGACATATCACCATTTCGAAACGTTAAGCTTACTCGGGTTGTTGGTCACTGAACGCATATCTGTTATTAGGAATGTCTTTTCTTCGTGAGTGTCGATTTATTGGACACAAGTAAGCTAGCGATAAGATTCAATATCTTCACCAAGCGGTTTTTGTTTGTACGCCGCCGCTGTTATCACGTCATCGGGAATTCATCATCGATTAATAAAATGTAGTATCCAAAGACCCACGAGATCACCCTGAGCATCTCATAGGTCAGTGACCAGCCAACAAAACTGCATACTTGAATGACTGTCGCTGATGTGCTTAAGTAGACTACCTTAGCACTGGATTACTGATCATTGATGGTTAATGTTTTATACTTGGTTTGACCCGTTGGAATCTTCCCATTTGATCTGGTCTGTTACCCTGTCTTCTACATTTTTCGGGATCCTTTATGTTCGTTGTTTGGCATATTCGACGTTTTTTGGCGTACTTTTTCTCATTACCTGCCTCCTCTCGCTGTCTTCGTCGCTGCGCATTAGTGATTGTCTTGCTTCACTGATTTGATTTCTCTAGTGCGATCTCAGCTGAATCCCGTCTCTTTTGCTGATCTGTCTCCTGTCTTGCTACCTCGGAATCTTTCTGTAGTTTTCCTCCCGAAAGCCTGTCGACACCGGATATTGATCTGACCCCTCAGTTTGGGCAAAGCTCGGATTCCACACTCGTAAAGCATTATGCGTCACATTTCTTACCTTTATATAATTATGTTAATAATGGTCGTGGATTTACAAAGGTTGTTACTGTTAGCTTTAGGGTTCCAAGTCCGCTGTGCAAATTTCCCGTATGGCTTAGGCTAAAATCCAATGTGGGCGTGTCCCGGTTTTCGACCGCATCAAACATGAGTCTCATCAAGTGCCCTGGCCTTATACAAAAGCTTCTTCATCCCCTCGAGTGCTATTTCGACTTTCACTTGCTGTACTTAATTTTTCACCTAGATGTAAGTGTGCAAAATTTGACGCTACACAAGTTATATAGGATAGAGGTTACTCGTCTTCCGGACTCGCCTGCCACTGCGACTACGAACAGCCATATAACTTGCGCCTACAGAAGGACCGTGAGTTACTGGCGCTACACCACCCACAGCTCTGTGCACACACCCCATATCCAAGGTGAGCCCGGAGGACTAAGACTGAGAAACGTAGGTGGGAACCAGGATTGATTCGAGACCGGCCCACACTCTTTCCACACGCACAGCAGCAGCACACCTGTGTATCCTAATTGGAAATCATGCGTAAAAGACCGTGACTAGGCCGTTGCACACTAGATAGAACCATTCTCTGCGCCTAACATTGCTAAGAAGACTGATAACCTCGTCTCTTCCAATAACAGTCTCCTGAAGCCAGTACTCGTGGTTGCGGTTTAGGCAGCTAGGCACCTTGTCAACATTTACACCGAGCGCATCAACTAGAAACGTTCTCAAACATGCAACAAGAACTGGCATTGTACAGACCAACTGCAGCGATGATGCAGCGCACATGTTACATCTACTGCATTATTGACGTGGGTTAGTAAATAGAATCGGAAGCAGCGTGATTACCAAGCACTGACAACTACCCATTTAACCTCCCCGTTGCTTATTGGATATCGACCCCTCGTGGTCACGTTGATGGCTTAACAAACCAGCTCGGCTGAGTTTGTTATGATATGCATGATATCGCCGAATCAGGCTCCGCCGACATCTGACGCCTGCGCAACCGGCGTTTCTCTTTCTGAGGCGACAGCGCCTTCCCGTATATTGGGCGACTGCATTCTTGATGTGATCACGCCGTTGGCGGCGATCTACTGGTATCGTTTCCCAACACCTTAATTCGGTGTTGATTCATGCTAAACTCACCTTGGTTATCTTCTAGTATTGTAGCTTCGATTTTCCTACTTTCGTCTCCCATTCACGCAGCTAATCTTATGACGTGTGTTTCGGTATTCCAGTCGCATCCATACAGCGTACACGTCCGAGTCACCTCAGGTGTCGTAGCAACGGCGCGCAATCCGTTTTGTACATGATGCTGCGGTGAAGCACTTTCTTTTCAGGAATTCGATCACGTCATCCGATTCTGCGCTTCGGACTCAGTCATTGCTGTTGGAATTGTTCCAGATATCGAATGTCCTTTCTGTACAACTTCCGTGTTTCACTGTTGTAGCGAGCCAGTAGAACCATTGGCTTGTATAATGTCAGCTTGGTTCCGAGTGTCAGCTAATATTTCTTCCATACCTGATGTTGCAGCTTCCCGATAACCGCAAATACTTTCGATACTTGGGTGCGCAGCTTGTTGATAATCTGCGGGCCAAAAAACTGTCTAAAAGTTCTCCAAAACTTCGCCAACACTTCCGATTTTCCGGCAGCCCACGGAAATCACTCCTTTTGATCATCATCAGCGTCATCAACAGCAGTACATCAGCCATTTGAACCGATGCTTTGCTGCCGTACTACCATGGTAACCTACGGAACGAAGAATAATGAGAGAACAGAGCTTTACCGGAAATCCTTAACGCCCTAAACATGCACTCAGGGTCAAGGCGCCTACACTTTGTCAACAACATACCATCACACAAATGGCTTTCGTGCAAAGATAAGACAGCGTCCTCGAGATCACTTACTTGCGGCTTTTAATACCCCGCTTTATAATCATCCATTACCCCGCACATAATTCAACACCAAACACTTTAAACAGCCAGTCCGACTAAGAAATGACAGCAGATACGCTACTGGTGTCGATAGCGAGCCATGTCCTGTAACGTCTCGAGCTAAGCACAAGACGGGTCACGTGGACTCCATCCCGGAAGGCGAAACGGACCGACGGCACCCAATTTGGTCATCATTGACTATTTCAAGCCCACTTTGTACCACCCTGCATCTGGCAAACCAAACAAAGGTCTTCTCGGTAAGCGGTGGCCGAGCATACGTAGTACATAACCAGGCCAACGCAACTTATTCAGTGCTATCTTGTTCTAAGAAGCTAGCTTGAGTATCACTGTCTACGCACATCATCTTTGTGGACTTGCTGATGTCACCTGACACCAGCAATGATTCTCAGGCATCGATGATCGAAGACATGAAAACGATTCCCATCTTCAGCTCGAAGGAGCCAAGTTTCACTATCATAGAGTAAGACGACCATCACTGTGGTCTTGGAAACACGGAATTTCAACTCGAGGGAAACCCCCTTATGACTACACATATGTTGCAGATTCAGTAAG